AAGAATAACCTACCAAAGGCAATACGGTTTCCTCTTCTTCGTATCGCTGAAGCTCTGGCCACTCCCATAGAAAAACGGGAGCTGTGCATATATAAGAGAATTACTCAACCACTTCTAATGTCTTGGTAACAACTTTTTTGATTTGATTTTTTGATGACTTAATTTTGTTCGTTTGCCTGTTCTTTAATTGCTTATGATTCTTGTATTCATTTAGAACTCTTATGTAATTTTGTATTATCTACTTTGATCCTATGTGCATCCTGAGTAAAACTCACTCATCAAACTATTCATATTATTACGTAATTCCTTTTAACAACTGTTTGTGACAACTCATCACCTTTGTTACTACACTAGTTTCATTAACACCCAATTTTCTTGACCGTTTTTGTATAAGGTAACTCTACGCAAAACTTACTAATCTTCACCTAATCAGTTAAAATAACCATAACCAATTGTATTTTTGTTTGACAAACTTAATGTTCACATGCATACAAAATAGCTCATATATATATACTTGTGATTGTACAGCTAAGAAAATGAATTCGCCGAAAAGACTCTTCGTTGAACTACATGTTCTGTTTTCATTAATGCCTGGATGGGGGATTATCCATGCACTGAACGAATTCACATACCAGCTTCAGAGTATATGGAAATCTGGTCAAAAGATATTGTATGAGACTTTTTCAAACTGAGGAAGATATATCAACCTACTTGTTAAATCCTGAAGTCTATACACAGAAGAAATCTGTTTAGTCACTGAACGTAAATTGGGCCTCACTCTGTCTCAGAGTTTCATAAGAGCAATTTTTGTTAAATTCTACTATTTTCTTCTCCTTTCCTATCATACCTTTGGTGATACACTGACGTAAGCTTGACTACCTTTCAACTTTCCTTGAGCTGTAGTCAATTCTGTCGTTAACTATAAGTCACTCAAATTACTTTTGTTTTAATTTTTTATCAGAATAATGCTTTCTCAGTCGACGAGGCTGAGATGGTTAGGAAATGTGTTACGTATGCCTAGTCATCACCTTCCTCGACAATGGGAAATGTTAGCTGACGTAGGGTCAGGCTGGAAAAGAACTAGTGGCGGTCAAACCAAGACATGGATTTATCAGTCAATGAAATCAGCAACAGTTAATTTTGACCCACTTAGAGAGGTGTAGACTTCCTGACTGGTTTGGCTCCTCGGGATGGTAAAAAGCAATGGCTAGAGAAAATCGGTGATAAGGCTCAAAATCGTCGTTCTCAATGGCTAGCGCAGATGCATCCACTCCTTATGACTAATAGTACCCAATAAAACTATATTGTTCTTCGTTATTACTATTCCTTTGTCTCATATCCCTATGTAGTCTCTCTATTTTGCATTTTTTCTCTTGCTCTGTGTGCTGCAAGGAGGGAGTGTGGAGACTTGAACTGCTGCACATCGGTGCAAAGTTCTATGTCGAAAACAGACAGACAGAATGCCTTGCGTATTACGTAATTGTCACCTCAAGCTTACAGTTTCAATAACACGTCTTTAGAGGCACCAATTAGATTGTTGTGAAAGCGTATTGTGTATGTACGGTTACACAACCTAAGAATGACATCACTAAAAAAGGTTAACTCTTCACTGAATGCCTCTTCTTTTATGTGACGTAATAAGGATTTTTAAGCTACCTAGTAAGATGCAAAATCCTAATAATGCTCATCGAAGGCATTAGTGAGAGCAACACTATATGTGACAAGAGTTGCTGAAGTACCAATTCGTGATACATAACATACAGTCAAACTGACAATTTTTTTAATTCACCGCAAGCCAACACAAGAAAATACTATGGAGTACAGTAGTGTAAGCAACGTCAAGTCCACAAACGTATTCAGCTTGGTCAGCCAGAAGAGAAAAGACGAATACCCAGCAGCTTTATCCTAGAACACCTTGTCATTTCCGGACATCGAGCACCACCCCCCCCCCCCTGCATGAATGCTTCACAGTGCTACGCAGAGTCCCTAAAAATCCTACAAAGGGACTTCACATACGCTATCTGTATGTAGCTGAATCACTGGCTATTCGAGATCTGAAACCGAACTTCTGCATTCAAAAGCGACACTTATGTTCTCTCTCCCTACCGTCGTCAGAGTAAAGTTCTTACTATAATTTTGCGTCTTCTTTTTATAATGTAAGTTTATTATTATTATTATTCCCATCATCCAAATTTTATTATCGCTCTTTTACTGTTTATGAATAACATTGCTTTTTTATACAGATTTCATATAAAAACACTTTATAGCCTTTCCACTAGTTTCTGTCCATTCTACACGAGCTTATTGATTTGTCATTATCCCACTTATTATGTCATGCCAGCTTCTGACTCTTTTCTAACTTACAATTACACCTTACATTACGTAATACATTTTTCGAGGACAAAGTCTACCAGTATCTGATTGGTTTAAAGATTTCTTTGTTTAATACAATTACGATTGTACAGCAGCTTATGAAAATGAATCTTCGAAAAGGGAAATTTTTCTTCCCTGTTTGCGCCTTTTTCTTATGACCAATAAGTTTCAACATATACAGCCGTTGTGCCCTTCCTTCTTTCTACCTTGAGTATAATTGCGAGTTCAACTATTTTGTGCATTTTTTGTTGTACACCACTTTATATATATATATATATTTTTCCTTCACGTTCCCAGTGGAACATAGGGCTTCAAGCTAGAGAATTGAAGTTTCTGTAGCAGTGTTTTACTTTTACAGGATGAGGTTGCTAGCCTCATGCCCAACCTTCCCTCTTTACCAGCTTTTTATTACTGGTTTGGCGAAGTGGAATGCGCCGGTCGGGGATCGGACCCCGGACCATAGGCATGGTCGGCGAGCGTCCTAACCACTGTGCCGCCGACGCGTATACCACTTTAGTAACATTATTCTCTTAACTAACTCTCTACTTACTTTTCTTACCTAATAGATAAGTTATTGTGGATACTTTTCTCTATACTCGCCTAGATTACTAGCTCGCCAGTTTTCTAGTCGGTCCCAAGCCCGGATAAAGAGGGAGGGTTGGGGTGTGGTGCTAGCAACTCCATCCCAAAAACTTAACCAAATTGCTACAAAAACTTCAACGCATAAATATATAAAAAATCTTCCGTTAACATCCTATATTTCTGGACGTCTTTCATATTACGTGATCCTAGTCACGACTTACTAATCTTCACTCCCTTCTCGCCCGGTTATAATTTGATTATTCATCAAAGTTTTCAAAATATTTTGATGACGTAAACAATAACCTGAACTAAATTTTATTCTTGTCTGAGAAACCTAATGTACACATACACATACAAAAGAAATAATTATATATATAACTGCGATTGTATACAGCTAAGTGAATAAATTCACTGAAATACGTGTTCTGTTTTCATTAGTGTCTGGATGGGAATTATTCATAAATTCAATGAAAATATCACGTCTATGGGAGAGATGACGTTGTAAGCTGGCAAAGGAATTTGAATAATCAAGTGTTGGTCTGTAGCCATTCGATTGGTTACAGGATTTCACACTAAAAGCGAACATCGGCTAGAATAATCATTAGAAAACCTGGAAGTACTGGACAGCTGTTTCGCCAGACTAGTGCTTGAGACTCTTCAGCAATACACATCCACCGGGATTTGAACCCAGGACCTTCCGGTTACGGGGCAAGCTCGGGACCGGATCCAATGGCCAATTCAAGATACAGTACGACTGGCACTAGTCAGTGTCACTGGTGGCGAGTATTTGTCCTCACACTCACATCCGACTAGTCATGACTTCCCATTAGAACCCAGGCAACAACCCACGTGAATAGGGACAGTCCCTATGAAAATCAGATTGACATTCAAGTGTTGGGGTTTGTGGGAATTTGATTGGTTTAAAATAAGTCTAGCACTTTTATCTGTTTTCGACATAGAACTTTGCACCGATGTGCAGCAGTTCAAGTCGCCACACTCCCTCCTTGTAGCACACAAAGCAAGAGAAGAAAGTAGAAGAAATGCAAAATAGAGACACTAGACAGGGATATGAGACAAAAGGAATAGTAATATCGAAGAACAATATAGTTTCATTGGAAATTACAAGTCACAAGGAGTGGATGCATCTACGCCAGCCATTGAGAACGATTTTGAGCCATATCACTGATTGTCTCCAGCCTTCATTGGTGTTTGACGCTCAGAGGAGCCAAACCACTACTACTGTACTACTGTACCACTTCTCTACAAGCATATAATAATTGAAGTCTCCACCCACTGTCTTCCTTCCCGTCCCCCGCGCCCCGCTAACCTCACCAGGAAAACACCAACTGTAAGACTGAACAAGGCTGATCAAGAATACAAAATAAATCCTCAATTTCTATACATATCATTTTATTACTTCTTGAAAAAAAATAATAAACAAAAAAACAAACAGACAACCTTCACCCAAGAAAAGTAGAATATACACACACACACACCTTCCTTCTACTGTTCCACAAACTTGGGCACCAACCACCGCCATCACAAGCAGCGAGCACACACACGCACACATACACACTCAAACCAACAATTTAAATTTTGTACATAGATTTTCTAGAGAAAAAAGTGTATTTTCTTAAAAAAATAAGTGACTCTTTGTTATTTCTTATTGTTGCTGAGTACAGGTACAGCTAACACGTCTATTAGTAGTCTGTTGAGTTTTTAGTCTTCTTTTGGTCGCGGTGACGGTCACAAGGGAGGGAGGGAGGGAGGGAGTATGGAAGGCGAGGCTAATATCATTATCTCTTGTCTTTTATCTCCAAAGAAAAAATAGGAGAATGTGAAATACAGAAGAGACATACAGAGAAGGAGTGTGTTTGTGTGTGAAAGAGGTAGACAGGGATTATTTCCAATATTTGACCCCAGAATGCATCAGATTACAGCAAAATAAACACACACACGCACACACACACACAATAAAAATTAGTACTACTACCAAAAAATAAACAAACAAACAGGCAACAACAATCACTCACTCATTCAATCAATCAAGTAGGCATTGGATGATATGGAATCGGTGTAAAATGTCCACCAACTGTTCCACTGACCATATCATTTCTTGTCCAATCAACTACTAATGATGCCGGTTGTATACCGCCACCAACACCACCACCAACTGCTGGATGATTAACTACTAATGACAAGTGATTATTATTATCATTGTCATCATCATAATCATCATCTTTATAAGGATTATAGAAATAATTGTTACCAAGATTATGATTAGTATACAATGAATCCTTTTGAAGATTAGGATGCTGTTGATGTTGATGCTGATAGACTGCTGCTTCGACTAGGCTGGATGAAAAATGTGGCATATAATTATTACTGTTTGGTAAGGCTAATAATCTAGGCGGAGGTGAGATATCTTGCTGTTGTTGTTGTAGCTGCTGTTGCTGCTGATGTGATAATGTTTGATGGTGTTTCCCCACGCTAACACCAACTGGATTATGCCTACCAACAATGTTCAATTGGTTAGCATAAAGATTCGATGCATTTGTGGAGCCAGAGGCGGCGGCTCCAGCGATGGAGGGAGTAGCTACAACAGCAGGAGTAGTAAAGTGATTAGATTGATTCAGATTTGAAGGGATACAACCACTACTACTACTGCTGCTAGCCGCCGACATAAAATCACATGGAATATTTGAAAAAGACGGCTGAACAATAGAACCAACGCCACCACCACCAATTGGCAGCAGTTGTGTAAGAGGTACTCCAGAGTTGTTATTATTATTATCAAGAAGACTGTGTTGAAATGGAAGTATAGATGATTGATTACAGTTACCTGAGTAATTATGCTGATATTCTGGTTTTACTAGAATGGAATTATTAGTGGTACAACAGCTAACACCAGTCGACGGTGATAATGTCGATGATGCTGATGACAATTGAAAATGCGACGAAATAGCATTACTAATATTATTGTTATTATTATTTATACTGGATACAACAGGGAAGCCAGTATGTTCCGAGTAAATGGGATAAATTGGCGTAGAAGGCACAATTCCCTCCATCTTTATTCCACTCAATATGGATGGATTATTAGTGCTGTTAAGCAGTATATCCGAAGTATACTGATCCATTACTACTCCAGGATGTGGTGTCATTACCTGACGACTTGAATCATGATGCTGATGCTGATCAATAAGAAAAGATGACTGGTTACACTGATAACTTTCTGTTCCTGCGCCTCCGCCTAATCCTGTTGCCATCATTGGCATATTACAATACTGAGAATCTAGATTACTACTACATGAAGAAATAGGTACTGGAGATGTCATTGGACAAGGCACACTACTACTACTCCTACCACTAGAACTGTTATCGATCCCATGCAATTCATTGGCGTTGTTATAGGCATTGTTATAGGCTTGTAGATTCATGTTAACATTGTACGGGCCAGCACTAGCACCACTACCAATCGGCGTGAGACAACAATATGAAGTTGTTGGAAGTTGTTGATGCGATCCAACTGAATTAAACGGATCACATGAAAATGGATTTGATGACAAACTGTTATTATTATTCATCATCATCATAGTCATCATAGATTGTCCAAACAGTGTTGTTCCCGATGGGAAACCGCCACCTATCGAATTACACATATTATTATTAGTATCATTTGATTGATTATACTGGTCATAAGAAATATTATATGTGGATTCACTCATTGGAACAACTTGACATGATATACGTCTTGGTTGAGATGACGATGATGATGACTCCATTGGATGATTACAGTCTAAGAACCACGAGGGCGGCATTGATAATGAAGAAGAGGCTGGCAGGACTGATGAACGCGTCCTAGACTGTTTCCCTCTGGTAGTCTTCGAATTCTTTCTACCACCACCACCCGCGGCTCCGCCACGTTTGGTTTTTGTACGAGTGACTAGTGATGACACAGTATTACTGTTAAAAATACTGTTGTTACTAGTACACACTATACTCACAGGTGGCTGTGATTTCATCATATCGTAAACAATTGACGCTTGTTGACAGATATCATCAGAGGCTAAACTGAATTTTTCCAATCCCCTTGTTTGTTGTGCAGTTTGCTCCAACTGTGAAAAAGACACCACAGTATTACCAGCACCATCACCATCACCACCACCAAAAGTGCTAGTCACTACTCCTGGGGTAGTACACGGACCATGTGATGCTGCTGCTGTTGTCATTGTTGTTGTAGCAGGAAATACTTCGGGATTAATCAGCGGTAAACTATGCAACTGTTCAGTCGGTCTCTTGGAGAATAAGTTCATATCATGCGATTTATTCATAGGAGGATTATAATTCTCACCAACACTACTAATGCCACTACTACTAGTACAACTGCTAGTTGTTATCGGTGCCGGCAGCAATACCGGTGGGACAACAACACAATCTGACTGATCAAAGATATTTGATAGGACAGAACTAGAATAAGAATGCGCTGATCCACAAATCAACTGATCTGTATCAGGTGATACAAAATTTGATGATTCTGATAAAATATCCTCTGTATCGCATAGAAGTGTCTTATCCTCCTGACTGGATAAAGGTGTATTAAAGAATTCTTTAGTAATAAGTATGCTTTTAGTATCTATTGTATTATTATTATGATGATTATGATTAGGATTACTATAGTTACCGTTATTATTATTATTATTATTCGATTCTATTACCAAGTACTGAATGGTGGCTATGAGTTAATTCAGTGGCACTGAAGTCTGGTTCATGATCACGTACTAGAATCGGTAGACTTTCATTCTGTGGACTCGTAGTGTATTCTGATAGGTACTCGTGACTTCGTGGAGGATAATAACAAGACGGAGAGATATGTTGGTCAGACAAAGAATTGTACTCAACTGTAGTGCTGGTAATAGTACTTGTTGAAGGGATACTACTACTACTATTACTACCTTCAGGAGGAATCGAGGAAGATAACGACGATAATAATGCTGGATGATTTGAATATGTAGTACAGTGAATAGACGATGCAACTGGTACATGCACCATAGGATCAGAGATGAAATCAATTTCTTCAGCTGGAAATGATATAATATTATTCTGTGTATCTAATAATTTCGACTCCTTATCACCAATAGATGTCGAATCGAACAGCAGTGATTCACCAGTGATAGGTGTAGTAGTGTCTGAAGGGGCATTCAACATCGTGGTAGCATCAGGAGTATAACTGTCAATAGGTTCTGATGTTTTAGGTGTATACTGATGGTTGACAGTGACTGAGCGACCTGTACAGGAGGATTTCAATGTCTCTGCATCATTATTATTAGAAGAAGGACTGCAAGAAGAATAAGGAGAAGAAGATGGTGACGAGGTAGGCAAATTCAGGGTACACGAGGCATTACCACTTAGCTCAGTGTTCTGCTGTTCATCAATAGTACCATTGGATTGATTATTATTGGTAAATGGTGAGACAGGAAGAAACTCAATGGGTGAATACTTGTCAACTTCAGATTTTACAATCGATTCGTTTCCAGTGATAACCACCATATCCACCACAGAGGATAAAGGAGAGTTCAACATCTTTGTTAAACAGTCATTTGTTGACAAATCTTTCAATGATGCATGCTGATTAACTGGTGAAGCAGATGTCGGCTCATCATTATAGTATTGATTATCAATTTTAATCGATACCTCGGACTCTGGTGACAGTATTGATTTAAGATTGAACTTTAACACTGGATGACTATGACATCGACGACAAGCATCCAATGGAGAATACACGACATCTGCAACTGATAATTTTTTTCTTGTTGGTTCTGAAGCATGACGTGTGCGTAGACCACCAATTATCATGATCATCATCATCACCGAGTCGATATAAACTACTGCCAAGATCCTGATTGAAGTAGGTCATTAATTCAGCATCCCCAACACCAACACCAACGCCAATACCATCAGTATCATTCAATTTCTTTCCATTGGGACATTTCATTGCATAATAATAATTATTATTATTCTGTGAATCTTCTAGATACGGTGGACTTAAACTATTCGACAAGCACATAGCAACTGTCTGGTCATCATCATCACTGCTTTGTCGTGATGAATAATGCATAGAAGAAAAGCAGGAATTATTATTATTATTATCATCGCCATCACCATTAAATGATGATTTCGTGGAAAGATTTACCAAATCTTCATCAGAGGCGATCAATGTTAATCCATCTGTAGTATCTGTCATATTATAATGCATTGTTAAGTCATCATTTATAGAATTTTCATCTTCACCGCTGACAATACAATGTTGTTGTATTGATTCCATGTTGTTGACTACTGAAGTGTTTTGAAGTGGATCACCTGTCATTGGAAGTGTCACTACAGTCGACTGATCACTTTCATCATCCCCACCATCATCCTCATTATTATTATCGTCAGAAATGTCTACACGACTAGACGAAGCAGTGAAAGATGGGAAGGCAGATCCTGATAGTCGACTGGACGGTCCTCAGCAGTCTGATTTGAGCATTCTAAAAATAGAAAAAAAGAAATAAAACAGTAATATTTTCTGATGATAACATTGCGAGCACTATTATTGTTATTACTACTACTCATAATTATATCAAGTTACTCACACAAATTCCTCATTTCGTTTATATAATTCCATATTTCTAGTATTAGTGACGAGTCATTCCTATTGTACATGTAGGGTGTAGATTCTATGAACAAAGATTCAGTAATCAAACCTCTCTCTCCGTTGCATTTGGAAATTGACCCAACTAGCCAGCTAGGGGTGGTTGGAACCGCTATTCCTGCAAGTCCCACAATTACTGCTCAGCAGTCCACTCCGTCCTCCTTTATGGCTGTGAAACCTGGCCATTGAGAGCAGAAGACATGAAAAGATTATCTGTGTTCGATCATAGGTGTCTGCGTCCTATCTCCCGCGTGAAATGGCATAATAAGGTGAGCAGTATTGAGCTTAGGCGTCGAGTGCTAGGTAAGGAGGGGAAATCAGTCGACGAGATTGTGAAATTACATCGACTGAAATGGTTAGGACATGTGTAACTCATGCCTAGTCATCGCATTCCTCGACAATGGACAGTGTTAGCTGACAAAGGGTCAGGCTGGAAAAGAGCTAGCTAACGGCGGTCAAACCAAAACATGGCACCAGTCAATGAAATCTACAACAGTTAGTCTAAGCCACGTAGGAAGGTGTAGACTTCCTGACTGGTTGTGGTCCTCGGGACGGTAAAAACCAATGGTTGGAAGCAATTGGTGACATGGCTCAAAATCGTTCTCAGTGGCGCAGATGCATTCACTCCTTGTGACTTATGATTTCCAATTAAACTGTTTTGTTCTTCGTTATTACTATACCTTTGTCTCACACCTCTGTATACTGTCTATATTATGCATTTCTCCTACTTTCTTCTCTTCCTTTGTGTGCTACATGGAGTGTGACGACTTGAAATGCCACACATATGTGCAAAGTCCTATGTCGAAAACCGACCCACCAAAGTCCTACAATGCCAGAAATGTAGTTTAGATAGGGGTTAAACAAGAGTGTAGTTCATATTCACTATGTTGCAGGTTTGTGAGGGCAAAGTCGTACCACCTGGCTAATAGAGATATGTAACAGAAGTTAGGTGTCTCCCAACCCCCCCCCAGATGACTAACAAGCTAACTATGCTTCCCCTATGCTGTGAAGACGGAAGTGGCTATAAAAGGTCGACTCCTGAAAAGCTGTAGATCCCAACTTAGCTCCCAATAGTCCATGGCCTAGAGGGCAAGGTCTTAAGTACGGACACAACTCAAAAAACTACTTCAAACAATCAAGCCATCGTCTCCGGGCTATCTGAAGTCACCCAAGCCACTAATGCGGCTTCTGTTTCAGTTGCTCCAAGAAGAATACAAAACGGGAAAGCAATCCATAGTTTCTTTTTTCTACAATGTGGCCATTTTATCTACAAGATTCATCTACTTCAGTTTATATCTAGTTTTTTTTATTACACACCAGTAATTTATCTGAATATCACTCATTCAGTGGTAAGCTGTGCCTACCAAAGTCAAAGTATCCATGATTGAAGTCCTATTGCCTTCTCAGACTCAACATTAAGTATGACCTTTGACAAGCAGTTAGACACCTGCCTCAACAATGTCACACATGACTTTATTCCTGATGCATATATTCAATTTAGTGCCTACGTAATCCGGTTTAATACAACTTTTGAGTGAATACATTTCCCAATGTGAATGGAAAATGAAGCAAGATTACTCTCATCACCCTTCCGAAATATTTAGTTAGTTCTCTCTGATCATGTTTAATGTCATATAGACTTATTTTTTTCTAAAATACTACATTTATATCTTTACAGTACAGTGCTGTTTTGTATTTCCCCCCTCCGCCCACTTTATGACCTTGGAATCGTATTGGTTGTTCACTGTTTTAACCTATAAATGCAGTCAAGGACATTTAAAGTATAAATGCATACGCAATTGCTGTCAACCAATTTCGTTGTTGATTCGAGACAGTAAAAGCTCTTTACAATCAACGGTCTGTCTTCTTGTGTAGCGGGTTCAATGGCATCGTACTGTATCGTGTTGTTGTCGTTGTTAGCAGTAGTGATTAGAACAGTAGGTTCGCAAATCGACTAGGTAGGAAGTTCGGTAGAGCTAACCTACCATGTGTAATAACGGTGATATCATTTAAAAAGGACTAGACTAGGTGGCTTTTTCTAGTACTTGAGTGCCTGAAGTTCTTTTGGATACTTACACTTCGTTATAACTTATATTCCCGATACAGAGAGAGAAAACTGATAACAAACAGTCAAGTAGATGGATATTTTAACTTACGCTGCAATTTTACCAACGCACCTCAGTAACTCTATATACAAATCATATATCTACTCCAAAAGGGTTGAGATGGTATTCTTTGCTGACAGAATAATTAATCTCTTATATGACTACAGAAAAGACAAGTTGGATTCGAAATGTTTTCGTCCAGTAATTAACAGTGCTTCAATATACCTGACAAGTAAAACTAAATACAGTTTTGATATAATTTATATTAACCTCATTTCATCGGAGAGACCCTCATTAATCTTAAATTAAAGTGGAAATCCAATGCATTCACAGCACAAAAAAAAAATCGGATTTTCAACACTAATGTCAATTCAGTGATGCTGCTGATGCTACTACATTCAGACAACTACGGACATCAATTCGACTGGAACAACCAGTTTTCAAATATTAGGCAGAGGAAACAACAAGAATGCTAGAGAATTTTGAGAAGCCTGCCTGGTATTCCAGTGAATCACCAATCAATAGACACATTGAGATAGACAAAATTTACCAACCGATAAGAAAGCAACATCACACACAAAGGGTCAAAGTTCAAGTTAAGTTCCAATACAAGTAACCTAGATGGTGTAAAAGCACACAAAAACAACCAATCATGTCCAAGGTCACCGGGAGAGATGATTAATAAACTCGTGGAGAAATCTAAAAGCTCACTTCACACTGAAGTATGCGCTGAAGATGTCGCCTAGCAGGGCAATGAAAGCTTCGCAAATTAACTATCCAGCTTAGAGAACATAACCACATCAAAAACATTGCTGCTGCTGTTGCTATATGGCTCAGAGACTTAGTGAGTCACAAAAAAGCAATTCCAACAGGTCACTGAAGAATTACGCCAACATCTGCCTTTGCTGACTGGTTAAGAAAGGATTAGAGACAAGGAATTCTGGCAGACAACGAACCAACTAAGAACCTATGACCCAAAAAATATGCAGAAGGAAGTGAAGATGAATCGAACACACACTTTGAGGAGACCGCTGAGGGGCATAGCGCGCTTGGCTGGACTTTCAATGAAATGTAAATGCGAAACAGAGAGTTCGGCCTGCCCGCAAGAGAGTATGACACCGAAAAGATCGTGTGAAGGAGTGTGGAAAAGAAAACTTTTGGTCAATAATCGTGGAGCCAGCTATAAAAAAACAGACTGAAGTGGAGATATGCTGCCGATGTCCTATGTTCTACTCCAAACCCATGAAAACAATAAATAATAACGAGGAGTATTCCTCTTCTCATTATGTATGCTACCATGAAATGTTAATAGATCAAACAGTAGATATTTCATCTCTTGAAAAAGCACTCCAGAACAAATATCAGACTCTTCAATAAGCACACATCCTACTTTGGAGCAAGCATGTCTGACTAACCGAAAATCCGGTACTATGGGGGTCACGGATGTCTGCAATATTCGGCCGGATACTGAGAACAGCTGATAGTATTATCTGCTTAGACAAGTGAATCATAACAGATCTCAATAGGGTGAACTATGTTACATCATTCTCAATAGATAGTCATCTACCTCACCAAAAATTAGTTTGAACAGAAAAGGAAGTAGAGCAGCTAAGATATCTTTTCGACGATTTCATTCTCAAAAGGCAGCTGCACAATCGTATTTATATGCATAATTTGACACTAGGTACAATCAGTATTACTTAATTCCACATAGTAACGAAGGATGAGCAGATTAAAGGTGATAATAACTTTCAACATGATATATGAAAGTTCTAAGGTGTGTGAACATAGACCACAAGGGCCTTAGAAACAAAATTACACAGGACTAGAAAATAGTTTCCTCTTAACGAGTATACAGGTGTGAACAGGATGAGCATGGAAACAAATTGAAATTATAGTCTTCTTATGACTGAAATGAAAAAACAACGAAAGACGTATATCAGTTTACCTGCTCGTGAGGAGCTAGCTAGGTATACACGTCGTTCTATGGGTGGGATTCTATCAAAACATGTTAGAGAACATTACCAAACATGGCTGCAAAGAGAAGGCACTGGTTGAATCAGAAGCGCCGCAAGCGAACATCTCGTCAACACCTGTCACAGACATCTCAAATGACTGATCATTCAGAGTCATTTACACAGTAAACAAAAATCTACCAAACAAAGGCAGTGTGTTCCGACTTCTTTGTACTACAGAAGCCTTAATCATATGCAACAAAAAGTCGGAGTTATGTATTCAGAAGAAACTAGTCCAACTTCTATATTTACCATGCATGGATCTAGTTTGGTTTAACTCCTTAGTTGTTTTTCATTCCTTCCATTTCAGTTTTTTCCAGGCTCATCGACGTTTACACCTGTAATCGTTAAAAATAAGCTACTTCACATATAACGCAACTATTTTCTAATCCACCAAGGAAAACACAAAGAAAATCATACTACCATACATAAAAGACGTCTCAGAAATCACTGCGAGACTCTTCAGACTTTTAGGAATTGATGTAACACACAGATAAGCAAAATCACTCCACTCAGCTGGCTGTATGTTGACCAAAAGACTCAACAATGAAAGATGATAAAACTAACATCATCTACAAAATAGATTGTATCAACTGCGAAAAACACCACATTGACCAGAGTGCAGACATCCCCTTCGTCTTCGCATCCATGAACACAAACTAGCCGTCAAAAGACTTGATATGCACTCACTTAAATAGTTGCATACAGACAGCCGCGGGCATCAATTTAACTGTGACAACGTTCAAATATTAGGGAGGCGAAACACCTAGAATGCTAGATGATTTTTAGAATCCTGGTATTCCAGTGAATCGTCAATCAATAGACCCATCAACATAGACGAAATCAACCAATCGATAAGAAAGAAACCAAACACACAAAGGGTCAAACTTCATGTCAAAGAAACAATCAGTACCCACACAAATAGACTAGACGATGTGACAACAGACACCAGGAGAGATGATTAATAAACTCGTGGAGAAATCTAAAAGATCACTTCAAATTGAAGTATGCGCTGAAGATGTTGCGTAGTAGTAGGGCAATGAAAGCTTCTTAAATAAACTATCCAGCTTAGAGTACACGACTACATCGAAATCCTGTGTAATTTTGTTTCTAAGCCCCCCTTAGTCTATATTCACATACCTTCGAACTTTCACATTTCAAGTTGAAAATTACTATCACCTTTATTCTGCTCATCCTTCGTTACTATGTGGAATTAAGCAATACTGATTGTACCTAGTGTCAAATTATGCATATAAATGCGATGGTATAGCTGCTTTTGAGAATGAAATCGTCGAAAAGATATCTTTGCTGATGAACTTCCTGTCAAAGATGGGTATTTTCCACAATTTGAAATATAGAAAAAAATAATGGTGAAACATGAAATAAAAACTCACTTGCTTCACACAACTTCAATGGTAACAAACGAGGTGGTCGATTATCTGCATGCCGACTCCAGTGCATTGATAAGGAAGCAGATGAAGTAGACGAATTGAAAATCGGTGACACCGCCTCTGACTTCATAATTTCATGATTGGTTAACAATAAAGGTGGGGGCAAGGGTGAATGTTGCTGACGACTGACTACTACTGACAGATGAAAGTCAACAGCACCTGTTTTATTACTACTCCTTTCAGTAGTAGTATTGAAAGGTATCAATGATGGAGCTGTGATTGGAGTACAATGGTGGTGGTTTACAGCACGACAGAGAATCGGTGGTGAAGATGACAGCGATGAGGTAAATGACGTAGAATTATCGATCAGATTGGATTGATTTGATGAAAAAACAAATCTGGCCGGAGCAGATTTACACGCTGCTGCACTCAACTGAACCGGAGATGATGGCCATGAACGGTGTGATGATCGATGATTTTCTCGATGAAGATGATATTTGTGATAGGTGGTCTTATGTGGTAAGGAACACAGCATATCGCTGGAGAGAATACCAGCCAATGAAGAATGTGTAGTAGTAGTAGAGCATACAGTTTTAGTGAAATTATATGATTTCTCTTGTATCAAAAGATGATTTCCAGTATATCGTTGTTGATAGTGTTTTGTACAAGAAGATGAAGATGACGATGATGTGGACGAGGTGGAGGAAGAGGAGTTGGAGGAGCAGGACTGTCGACTTTGACTAGACATCAACTCGCTGCCAGTATCATCTTCATAATCATTTAGATTAGTAGTATCAATATACAAGGGGACTTTTAAATGCGATTTAACATCTTGTGAAATGCAACAGCCTTGAGGATCGCTGAATAGACGTTCATCATTCATCGCTGATAAAGATGTATCAACAGCTTTAGTTGTTGCACTCGATGATGTTGAATGTGAAGCAGATGATTGGCGGGAGGTGGAGGAATCGCGGGAAGGAGAATTAGACTTTGATTGATTATTATTCACAGTTAGTCCACTATCATAAAATGATAAACATGGAGGTGGGATATTGTTTGTTTCACTGACAAGAGAATGTCGTGATTTTGATAGGGAGGAAAAACTGTTGTTGTTGTTGCTGATGTTGTGGTGACGGTTGTTGTTAGTTTTATTATTATTACTATTACTGACGCCATTTCCGCCATTAGTTACATCATTCAATGATGATGGCATTTCAGTGTCAACAACAGTTGATATCCCATCAGCTAATGATAACATTGGCGGAGAGGGGGTGTGTATTGATGATGCATTGAGTGACAGTCTATCACCGCCACCATCAGTGATAATAGATTGTTCCTATAATAGGAAGCAATGAATAAAAATTGTTCAAAAATTAGTTATCTGGAACATAATAAAGTCAAGTTATCATTCAATTTTTGATTTTCCTATCGATTGATTGAATCAAAATGTTCGAACTCAAGTTGACGTGTCGACTCCTTGTGTGAAGGGTTTAGAGATGTATGAGGATTAACTTGAAGTAATTCAGTGGATGTTGACTAACTGTGGAATCCAGAATGCATGTTTCGTCTTATTTAGGACTCACCATCCGTTGGATGTACCCGTAGTCCCCGATGAGTGAGTGAGTGGTAAGAGTTCCCACTGAGGTTCGAACACAGTACCGATTGTTACAAAGACAAGACGTTATCCATTCAATCAACAGAAAAATCAAAATTAGATAATAACCGACACCCGTTGAACAAAAGGAGACTCTCGTGGCCCAAGTGGTCTAGTGGATAACGCTTTGACGTTTGAAACGAACATTACTGAGTTCCAGCCTCAGTGGGAAAACTATCGCTGACTCATTGGGGGAACGCAGGTGCATTCGGTAACTGACGACTCTCAAAGAGGATGAAATGCGCATCCTGACTTCCACTGCTAATCACCATCCACCAAATTACTTCAAGAAAAGTTATTCTGCAACTGGGAAACAGTGACATGTCATCTCACTTTAGGAATTAGCAAAGAACCAACAGAAACGGTAATTTAATTCTCGTCTATTGAATCTAGTCGCGCCGGAGGTTCAGCTATAGGATGCTCGTCAGATACGCACATGTCCTGGACTCAATTGCCAGCCGATATACTCCTAAACCTATACCGATCGAGATGGCTAAGACATGTATTACGAATAAGCTGACACAGCCTTCCTCAAAAGGTAATGTTAGCCGACATAGGATTAGGTTGAAGAAGAGTTAATGGTCGTCAAACCAAAACATGACGGCACCAGTCAGTGAAATCCACAACAGTTAGCTCAAGCCAGCCAGCCACGTAGGGAGGTGTAGACTTCCTGACTGGTTGGGGTCCTCCGAATGGTGAAAATCAATGTCTGAAGACAATGGGTAATATGGCTGTAAATCGTTCTCAGTGGCTAGCACAGATGCATTCACTCTTTGTGATTCATCATATCCATCCAATAAAACTTTATTGTTCTTCCATATTACTATTCTTTTTTGCCCCACACTTCTGTGTACTATCTGTCTTTCAAATCTCTCTTTACTCTCTTCGTTTGCTTTGTGTGCGACATGGAATGTGGCTACTCGAATTACTGCACATTTTTAAAAAGTTATACATTGACACTAATCAGTCAAATCTGGCTTAGCCCAACACCGGTGCACAGGAATCCCAGAAAAGAGGGAAAGTTGCATGTGAAGCTAGTGACTCCAACCCCCAACAAAAATTTCATTATCGCTACTAAGACTTCAAAGTCCTATAAGTTCCACTCGCGACGCAAAGGCATAAACTAAAACACATAAATCAAAAATTTGAATTGTGAGTTCGACCAACCCCAATAACCTGAACCCTCTCTCGCTTCCTCTCTGAATTGAGAGTCATTTAAAGACGTCCCAATTACTATTGGCTGTTTTAACAAACTAATAACATACAGAACACTAATAGGTATTTGGAAAGTGTACCACTTTTCTATGAATATTTACGGTATTGAAAAGGGAGACTTGATCAGGTTTCAACTCAAGAACTGTACCATTTATTGTCCAAGTAAATGTGAGAGCTACGACCAATTCTGAAGACTTTCAAGAAAAAAGAAATGCCAAAGGGGACTACCAACAGTTTATCTTGGCATCCGATAACACAGACTGTCACAAGGCATATCCCCTCATAACTACAGACATCAATTTGAGTGGAAAGAATGTAAGAATATTAAGTAGAGGAAAACTGAATTATTCGAGAAGATTCCTGGAGGTTTAGCACTCAGACCAATGTGTTATTGGCAAATATATGAGAACACAGATTAAATTTGCGAATCAATAAAGAGTGGGTCAAATGTCAGATCAAAGAGTGACCTGATTTAAATTCCCGAGACAATCAATCACACAGCACTGAAGTCATCAGGGAAGATAACTATCAATCATCACCACCACCGCAAGCCATCCACCTGAGTTACAAATCTTTTCCATAATGCCAAGAATGTAGTGGAAGTAATTCACACAGTTTTAAACTAAAAGTAACGGGGGTAAGCAAAAAGTGAGTCGACAGTTCAGCGGTAGAACACTGACCCCAATCACGCAAGTGGTCCGGGGGATTCAATCCTCGGCCGGCTCATTCACTCTCTTACTTCACTTGGACGACAGTTACACCCGGTAAAGAAGGAAGGGTGGGGTGTGGAGGCGTGAGGCTAGCAACTACTAATGAAACTTCGAAAGCTCTAGATTGAAGCCAAATGTTTTAGTAAGAATGCAAAGAAATAAAATAATAAGTGACACGTGCGAAGCAGATGTAATTTTAGTTTGTCGAAATGAACCAGACGGTAATGGCTTGAATTTATTCAAAATATGCATAAATGACCATAATTTACTGCTAGCTAAAGAACGACTGATTAGTACAAGTTACATAAGATCATATCTTTCGTTTCTCTGATACATTTTCACTAGGAAACTGAATGTCAAACACATTTTCCATTGTGTGATAAGATATTTAGAAGCGAAAATAAAAACGGCGGTGGGGATATTTCCCTACAACACTTCTCGTATAACGTTTGACCATGGAATGATATCACTTAGAGAATCATTGAAAACCACAGCTGGGAGTACTGCATAACTGTTTCGTCCTAACTTGAGACTCCTCATCAGCACCCACCCACCAACCGGGGTTCTAACCCATGGGCATCCGCTTACAAGTCAAGTTCGTAGACCGTTCAACCAGTGAGACCCAACTCAATGACCAGTCTATGAATTTTAACTTCTACTAATTCATGATTTTAGCGCGACTGGCACTAATCAATATCATCGGCGAATATGTCACTTTCAAGCATTGTTTAAACCACCTCAAATACATATCAAACGCATAATCAAGCAGGCATCAACTTTCGGAACTGTATGGAGATGACACAACACACACAATCACTCTATACATCTATCAGTACTCCAAAAAAATCTCCTTCCTACAACGAGGTGTATCGATAAACTGTCAGATACCCGGGACAAGTTTCTCATCGACAATTATTCCATGTGGCTTGATGAAACTACCCATTTTCACTGACTTTAAGTAGCCAGAGAGACAGCCAGACTTGAATCTGGAACCCAACCACATTGGCTGTAGGTCATCAAAGTGCTTAAGCCACTGTCAGTTAAAATATACGACATCTTGAAAAAGTATAACTTAGTTAACTAACAACTTTAAAAATCAAATACTTCTCACTTGATTATGCCTATTCATCATTTCATTCTGTTGACAACAACTCCCGGAATTCTCATCCTCTTCCCCATCATCATTATCATCTTTTACCGGTAGAATTGTCGGTGAACTAGAAAAAGATGGACGAAGTGGAGAGATGCCTAAACATTCCGAGTCGAGCATAAAATGCCTATCCATTGATGTTGATGATGATGTCATTATCACCTCAGTATCATATGGAGGTGTTAACATATTTCTCACAGTATGCGATGAATTAATATGACTAGCATATGTCGTCGCCGTTGTAGCAGTAGTAGTAGTAGTAGTACTGGTGGTCGTCGCCTCTGTTGTCTCTGAACTACTACTACTACTACTCGTGGTCATTTCATCTGAAAAGTCACCACCACCACCACAACTATTCATAAATATAGAGAATAAACCATTCTGTTTGGTACCACCACCACCACCACCCCCACTAGAACTTCGTGTTGTACAAGAACGTTGTGTTGGTGCATTATACGAGAAACGACGAGTTCTAGTAGCTATTGTGTTGGTATTCGATGACGACGATGCAAATCCACCTCCTCCTATAGGTGTAGAAAGTGAAAAAAATAATAAAAAAGGAATAAAACTAATTAAAGGATTTTTAAGAAGGCAAATTCTAGTATTATATGTAGTAATTCCAAAGAAAATCCTTCAGTGAACCAATAAACATTTAGATTCCAAAATTCAATCATCATTGTAAGGCGTAGAACAAAAATTGTTTAGGCATCCATTGTGTATCAAAATATATTACCAATTAAATAATTAATTAATTAATTAGGTGAGTTTCTTTAAAAGCTTTATACAACATTGTACACCCACACAGCGGCAACATAGATCGATGTCGCCATCATCAAGTTACAAGAACGAACTGGTCGAATTCCCACCGAAACAGCTGAATAGTCAACAAGTTTAATCTTGTAACCTAAAGGTCCCCAATTCGATCCCTGTTATCGTCGTGAGCATGTGTCTGCAGCTGAAGAGTAGCTAGTTAAGATGAATGGTCTTTAATGATATGTCTCTACATTGAAATGCGCACTTAAATATTTGTACTAAGCTCAATTACGTAGTGTGCATTGAAATTTGAAGCAGCGTGCTAACCCAGGGATTACAAACAGATCAAAGGATAAGAATGTTACTCAATTCTATTCTTATTATGTGAAAAGTAAAAAAAACTACCTACCTGACTGCCTAAAACCACTACAGATAGAGCAGCGGTACCGCTTGAAACCATGACCCAATAGTTGAAAGTCGGAGGCTTAGATTAATGTAACCACAGTACCATCATCAGGTAACAGGTCTTTTACAGTATAAACAAGAATTGTTATACTTGTGCTTGATGGCATAATGACTTAATGGTGGAGACTGTCGACTCACACAGCCTGGAGGTCACGGGATTCGAGTCCCGCCCTATAATTGGGTAAGGTGTAGTCGTTTGCATTCCATATATTCACGCAGTTGCCTGATGATGTAATTCTTGAAATTTACAAATGATTAATAAGTGATTGGTCAAAAAGCATAACATTGTTTCATGGGGATGTGTTCACACGTTCAAAGTGAGCACAAGCGGTATATATGCCATTAACAAATTTAAGCACTGGTAAGCAGTTGAAGGTATTGAACATCCAAAAGATTACACATAATAACGATCATTCATTAGGCACAATTAAAGGAAGTAATTCGTTTAAGTATGTGCATCAGTGGTTCGATGGTAAAATAATGCTCGCCAAGCAGAAGGGAATTCCGGGTTCGACTCCCGGTCGCCACACTTCAAAACCCCTCCCGACCTTACTAATTGACAGTAAGTCCGGTAAAGAGAGACAATTGATCAAAGGGAACCTACCCTTTGAAAAAGCAACACACACTATCCCTACTGAAAATCTAAAGACTTGAAGCTAAATGAAAAAAAAATTAAGTTTGAGTAGCTGTAAGACAAGAGTAAAACCATGAGATCTATCCATCTATATCAATGAAATGACTACTGGTTACTTCCACAGAACTTAACGCCGTTTCACGTAATAAATCCATCTTCTCACACCTCATTGTCGACTTTTCCTCAGTACAATCAACAAGGTGTGTGTGTCAATTCGAAATGATCCCTTACACTTTCTCCCAATCTACTCACTGAAAGATGAATTACGACATGAACCTAAGACATATGTTGCACCAGCCCAGAGTTTGCTTGTAGGGATTTGATTTGCCTTAATTTCGATCACAGATTGATATCAGTTAGAGAACCGTTGAAAACCAGAGCTGAGAGTACTGGACAGTCATTTCGGCCTGTTTTGGGACTCATCGGAAGTCCGCTCCCACTTATCTGCCAGGTTTCGAACCCAGGGCCTTCCGCTTACAAGTCAAACTCGTAGACCATTTAACCACTGGGACGCGACTCGATGACCAGCCCATGACTTCTAACTTCTACCAATCCGCAATTTTAGTGCGTCCGCCAGCCAATGTGATCGGCGATTATTTGTCTTCATTCCCCACTTGGTCACGACGTCTCACTAGAACTCCAGCGGCATTGAATCGGGTCCCAGTGGCTGAATAGTTTACAAGTTTAACTTGTAAACGGAAGCTCCTGGGTTCGAATCCTGGTAGGCGGATGCGTACTTCCGATGAGTCCCAAACGGTCATCCAGTACTCCCAGCTGCGGTTTTCAATGGTTCTCTAGCTGATATCAACTCGTGATCAAACTGGAGACATTGGATTAGGTTGGCAAAGAGTTGGGAAGGTGATCAAACCGAAACATGTCATCAATTCATCCGTGAAGTCTTTGACTGTTGCTACGAGCCAGCCAAGTCGAAAGATGTAAACTGTCAGGTTGGGATCCTAAGGATACTAAGAACCAGTGGCTGGATAGAATTGGTGATATGACTCAAAATTATTCTCGATAACGAAAACGCATATACTCTTTGGGATCTCCCCATACCTGCATATTATGTGGTTCTTTTAAATCTTATTTTCCCTCTCCATTCTGTCTACCTTTGTATGCCGCACACAGAGAGTGTGGCAACTTGAACTGATGCACTCAGTTAGTCAGTTCGTCAGTTGCTACGTAAACCGGTTTAGTAGAAAATATGAAAGCCAAGCAAAAAGAGTAAAAACGACTATTATCATTATTATTTCTTTCAAAAGTTTTTCTTTTCTTCAAATGCGAAATAAAATAGAGAAAAGAGGAAAAAGAGAAAGCGAACCTGGACAGATGAACAATGTACAATACATATCTCTTGAAAATTAATAATAATAATAACAATCAATTTTTTTTAAAAAAAGAGCACTAACCAGGTGAAGATGGTGGATCTGGAGGTCGTGGACCATCTGAACAGAAACTCCGCTTACGACAAGGCGAAGGATACGGTTTCAGCTTAGAATCTTTTTTCCGTGAGCTATTATTATTAGACACGCGCTTATTAGAAGAGTTAGTAAAATTAAAATTAGTGGTAGCAGTAGAAGAATGAGTATTGTTCATCGTTGTTGTTGTGGTGGTGGTGCCTACTATAGAATCTGTTTGCCGTCTGCTGTTCAACAGTGTTCTTTGACTAGTGACAACAAAATCGGATACAGTACCTGGTGAAATATACTCATTATTGCTATTAAGAAACGAGGATGAATGAGTTGAACTAGCCGGTGAACGAAGACGACGTCTATACGTCGTATCGATGATTCCGCCTTCTGAATTATGCGTATTACAATGATTGGAATTATCACTGTTGACTATTGAAATATTTTGAAAGGCATTATAACTGTTACCACTCATAATACTACTACTACTACTACGTAGACTACGTTTACGCGGGATTTCTGAGCCGGTTGTATTATCATTCTGTTGTTGATGGTGGTTGTTTACAGAAATACTAGCATCATTAGGATGTGATGTTCTAGGCTGAGGAGAGCGGAGGTGTTGACTTCTTTTTAGAACAGTTGGTGAAGTCGCTGGATTGTCATGAGTTGTTTGAGCATCAGAATTATCACAGCCTCCACCAGTACTGTCTCCAGAAACATCAAATTCCTAGACACAAAGAAACAAAACAAAAAACACCAGCATGATAACAATGGACAAACAAAATGAGGCAGAAATAAAAATATTTTGATATTCTGCTGGTGAGTACTGATCAAGAGTCTCAAACTATGACGAAACACAGCTGTCCAGTACTCGCTGGCGGGTTTTCCAATGGTTCTCTAACGGCTGTCAGCTCATGATGAAACCCCCTAAGAAAAGGAACTATGGTGAAATTTCACCTTGGATGGGAAAATTCCAAATATCGGACTTCATTCAATGTATTATCAACCAGTTCTCCCAAGGGGCTAACCGGAATTCATGTAGCCTCAACTGATTCGGTTCTCTACGAAATAGGTGTAAATCTAAATGATGGACACCGTATGTGTCAGATCATAAATACTCACTTATGAGGATACAAAGTAACCTAATCAACTTATAATTTCACCAGACAGAGAGTAGCGGCACCTAATGGTATGACTCCAGAGGTTCAACAGTCCTGAGGACACTAAACAGCACTCAAGACTCAGGCTGAGATGAAGGTGTACTGATCATATCTTTACTCTTCGATAGATTCTAGGACATAGTCATGCTTATCAGTGTGCAAACATTGCTATATTTCTTGATCTGAAGACGGAATTTTACAGCGTCGGGAGAGAGGTGCGGTGAGAATATCTGATAGTCAACGAAGTGCTGAAAAAGTATATCGCACTAATGAATACATTCTATTCGAACTGACGCAGACGTGTTCGAGCTTACGCAGAGGTGTCACCTAATGCAATGATAAACAGTGCAGTCCGTCAAGAATGCCCAACGTCTCCATTTTTTGTTTAACTCATACGACCCTAGAGGACTTCAGAGACATACAGACTAACTTATTATCAGGGAACAATTTGATCCACTTAGAGTATGCAGAGTCATCTGAAAATCTGAAAGAGAAATCTAAATACTTTATGCAACTGGTTCCCTTGATAAATTTCGATAAAGAAAGGAAGACGAAATTTGCAGTATAAAATGATATCATTCTATTTCACAGGTTCTCATCAGCTGCAGACTACCTGAAATTACAATGGTTATATAAATGATAATAACATACTTTAATGTTTGATTAGTAGTAGAGAAGAGATAAAATTGACGCATCCAAAAAAGAATGAAAGCATTACAATTTTTAGTTTAAGTTATCATCATCAATTTATACACTTTCAGAGTTGAAAAGAGGGGGGAGGGGTAAGACAGAAAACAGAAAAATTGATTAACAGAAACAGTGTTAGCTTGTAGGTTCACATGGCAACTCCAAAAAACAAAAGCATTTACAGTTTATAAGATTGAGATTTGCTCAGTGAGTTGAGATCACTGAATTAGATGACTAATCAAAATCAAAATTCAGTTACCAAGGGAGTGAGAGATTAATCACACTCTCTTTCTGTATGCATAAGTCTGGTTTAAATCGTTTGATTGCGATCGCTTCAGCAAATCGTAGTAAATTTGCTGTCCTTTGTCTATTTAATATTTTGAAGGACTTAGAAATCTCTACGAGATGTCCGGTATCAACAATATGTCTGGTAATTGCACTCTGAGAATATTTGCTCCCTTTCAGGCATAGGTTTCTTCCAACATCTTCAAAAAACCGGATAGAAACCCTTCTTTCTGTCCTTCCAATGTACTTGCTCCCGCAAGTGCACGTAAATTCCTAAACGCAGTTGGAGGTGACATCAGCAGGGTATTTATCCAGTTTTGAGTGGATTATAGAAGGAGTGGTGTTGTATACTGTTATGAGTTTTGCCGCCGGGAGGCTTCTGTTTATTGCTCCTTTCAGTCTTCTGTCAATCTTTTGTGAAACTTACCCCTCCCCCCTCTTTTCAACTCTGAAAGTGTATAAATTGATGATGATAACTTAAACTAAAAATTGTAATGCTTTCATTCTTTTTTGGATGCGTCAATTTTATCTCTTCTCTACTACTAATCAAACATTAAAGTATGTTATTATCATTTATATAACCATTGTAATTTCAGGTAGTCTGCAGCTGATGAGAACCTGTGAAATAGAATGATATCATTTTATACTGCAAATTTCGTCTTCCTTTCTTTATCGAAATCTGAATACATTTGGTATGTGATTTTCACCTCTGCAGGACTGGTTAGCACCGACTTCTAGTTTAATGATGGGGAGAAAAGTGGTAGACTGCATTAACGCTAACGTGGACTGATGGGAATTCAGTATGAATGCGTACTCATTTGGTATTCATCGACTGGCTTCGGACTATTGGTGATATGGTGTAAAGTGGTTCTAGGTAATGCCGATGCGTATACACTCTTTTATAAACTTCCATATTCATATTTATGGTGTGGTTAATTGAATTGATGCATAATTATGTGCACAGTTCTACGCTCAAACTCAGTCCATCGGTTAGTGATTATTTTTAACGAATAATATGAGATTCAATTTATTCAGAAAACTTAACATCACTTGTAAGCGAAACTGTGTGCACATATGTAGGTTTGAAATTGCTTCAACTATAGATTTTGAATAAAGCAACAACAACAGTTTTTGCAGAATAAAATGGTACCATCATTCATTTATTTATAGATTATTGGTATTCCCTTAGGTTTCGAGCAGAGCATAGGGTTTCAAAAATACATTTCCACTTTGTTCTATTTTCTGCTTTCCTCTTCATCTGGGTCTAAGATTGCCCATTATCTCTCATCTCCTTCTTGCTACACGATGTCCTCCATGTCACCCTCGCACTGACAACCTACTCGTCGCCTCCCATTCGGATTCCACTAGAGCAATGATCTGCACTCAGCACGATGTCATGCCTTCTCAACGTGTGCCAGACCGATCCATCTCCATTTTCTCCTACATATTTGTTGAGCAATCGCCTTTTGGTTGGTTTGTTCCACTACAGAGTTTCCAGCTGCTAATTCTTTCTGGCCGGCCAACTGGCCATTTGATCTTTAGTATTGAGCCAAAGAAGGCAGCTGTTGATAAAAGTTTGTTACTTTTTGCAAAGCCCTTTCGAGACATGCAGTGCAAGTTTATGATTCGTATAGAAGAACTAAATGACTTCATATTTGTGTTGAACAAAATCCAAATCTTGTTGTTGATGCTGCGGAGTGCGGTGCTGAAGATTTCCAAACTGGTTTCAGGTTGATGAAGGAGTATCTCGCATTTCTGATTCTAGCTGGCTTCGACATCTTCATTCATGACGTGTGCCTGTGGTTGAAACGATGCTTCCCAGCCAGATAATGGAAGGAAGTAACCTCTGTTAAATCTCTCCCGCTGATGTTGATTGCTTCTGGTTGTTGCTTGGTTGGTTATCTTCATTACCTCCACCTTCTCTATGTTCACCTGGAGTCCTGTCTTCGCTGGCTGCTTCTTCTGCCAGTTTGTTGGTTTTCACCCGTAAATCTTTAATTTTGTGTGACATTAAAAATAAATCATCCACGAGCGAAATACAGCAGACCTTCTAGAGGCTTATCGGTCCAGCGTACTCCTGTCTCACCACTCCCTGTTCACAGTCAGACGAATAATCCAGCCCACTACAATTAGGTAATATCAGTGTGGATGATAATAGGCAGCCAGGCTTGTCTTATTCCTGTATTCACTTCAAACACCCCTCTGAGTTCTCCATTATGGATCACCTGACACGTGACACCATCATATAGCCAGCTGATGAATGAAGTTGATAAAGATTTTAACACTGCACACCGTAGTGTTGAAGCAGTTTCCAAATTACTTCTCAGTCAACGCTGTCTAGTGAAGGCCTTTTCAAAGTCGATGAAGGAGGTTGAGGTAAAGGCTTGACTGCCATTCTATGCTTTGTTCGATGATGATACTACGTAGACTTGCAATTTGATCAGCACATGATTTGCCTTTCCCGAATCCAGCTTTGTTCCGGTCGGTGGGGCGGAGTTCTGTATCCAGCGCATCATCTATTCTTTCCAGGATGATGCGACTTAGTTATTTACTTGGCGTGTATAAGAGCATTATTCCACGCCATTTCTGTAAATAGGCACTGTGAATGCATCACAATACCTACTACTGGTTACATTGATATAAGTGGTTCCATACCATTCACACGAATCGGAAGTGTTTGGTTGAAGGGATCTCTGATGAGTAAATTAAAATTTGCGATTTTGATTGAAATAGATTCCACACTAAGAAGACAATATGACAATCAAGTCTTAACAATGCAGTCATAAAATACAATTCAATTCGGAGAACAATATAACAATGATTGACTTCTGATCTGGAGAGCAACAAGGTTAACTAAAACTTAAAAGCCTGATAAATAAAAAAAACAGTTTCAGTAATTCTAAGAAGGCGGTGAATAGGAGAAGTAAAGTAAGAAGAAATTAAACAAAAGACGACATTGAAGGATAAATAATCGAATAAAAATTTTTGACCGAAATAAAGCCACCTACTTGAGGATGAATTAAAGGTGACCATCGAAGACATTCTTCATCAATTGGAATCCAATTAACTGAACGTTTTTCATACTTTTCTTGTAGTTGTAGTAAATACGTTAAATCGAAACATATTAAGGGTCTATGAAGAAAAATGCAAACAAGAAACAAGCGAAACAAATGAACTGCATTCAAAAGGCATTATTGGATTATGTACACAGAAAAATAACAGTAGCCTGTGAAATGTACCCCTCACTACTTATCCCATCAGTCTGTTAGTCTGATTGACTTGTCCATAGTCTATCGCATTAATCCATAGTCTGTTAGTCAGATAAAAGCACATCACATGCTATAGTACGATGATGGGTGTCAAACAATCACAATCCAGCAAGCAGTTAACGCCTATTATTCGAGCCTTGTGACTGGATCAATATATATTTTTGTACTCTTGGTCATTTTCTCTCTGACTTGTGTTTTGAAAATCCACATTTCCAACCCTACCTACTGTGTGAGTCTTCTGGAGTTTACTAGTTCGGGTCACAGTATAGTTGACCAGGAAATTATCAAGCATTTGTATATCATCAGTTAGTATTCGTACTCACACTCGGCGAAATACACCATAACAACCCAACAGTATAACACCAGTGGTAATGTTATAGCCTGCAATGAACACATGCGGTAAGTATTTGCATATGTACCTCCTCAGTTGAGTTTACAAACAATAGTCTCGTGGGAAGTCTACACAGCGCGAAGATGTTCTCATCAACCAATCTACTGAATAAACAGTGACAATTTAGGAAATATTGGAGATATCTTTATCACCTCCCTAATGTATACTGCTACTTTAGAACTGGATTCCACCATATAAGATGACAGGAAGTGAAATGAATGTGTTGTGTTGTGTCAAATAAGCTGTCGTTAAGTTGAAGATTGACAAAATCACTGTGAATGCGCCTTACGACAAATGGTACAGAAGTAGACTTCCTACACTAACGATAATAGCTGTATACCAATGTATCATGCGATTGCAGTGGTACATCACGCACCAGACTCTCAAGTAGGACCCGAATTGGAAAAGAAGAGCTGTGTATGGGTCCAACGGCAACATGTGGGAGATAGTTTGAGTAGATAACAGCTCACCTGAAATTGTGGGGCCATCTAAAGACAATCGCACAAAAAAGGATGAAATGGAGATGTGCTGTTAAAGCCCTACGTTCCACCCAGAACCTAAGGAAATCACGATAATAATGATACCGTGGAATACATCATATTTGCATTTAGATCACAATATCTACAATACCTGGAGTCCACTTAATTTCTTAATGTTTGTTTCCCTGAATTGCATTCTTAGAAACCAACTTTCTAAATATCTGAAAAAGACAAGTCAAGCATTCACCTCATGCATCACACTCTCCAACAGACAGTTAATCCAGCCAAACGTTAGGCATAAGATACCGCCTTTGGCTACCTCGATGTGTATTTATCAGTTTACTTGTTCGTGTGGAGCCAAGTATATTAGTCGTACACAATGTCAAGTCCACAAACGTATACCTAGCCTGCTTAGTCAGACGGGAAAATAAGAATACCAGTAGCTCCATCCTCGAACACCTTGTCAACTCTGGACATCGAGCACCCCCACTTGAATGCTTCAGTGTTACACAGATTCCCTCAATATCGAACGAAAGGACTTCGAATATGCCATCTATACATAAGTGAATCATTGGCTATTTAGGATATGAAACAGGACCTCTGAGTTCGAAAGCACTACACATAACATTCCATTCACCCTTCCGTACCCAGAGTAATGTCCATATAATAAGTTTACTATTATTACTGTTATTCTCATAATCCTTACTTTACACAGTTATATTGATTAGTCATTTTCTCACACTTATTACGTCATCCCGACTTCTGCGCCCTTTTTCTAATCTCCTATCGGTCATCCCTTTCTAGATTACACCTTAAATCATGCAATACATTCTCTAGAACAAATTTACCAGTACAGTCGTTTTCTGTTATTGTTCAACTTGTGAAAATCATTCCTCAAAAACAAAATTTTCACTGTTTATGCCTTCTTTTTCTTATGACTCAATATGGAAATATTCCGTTCATTAACGTATTTTTTCTCTCTGATATCGTAAAAGAACAAACACCGCACCCCCAGCTTACCTTCCTTCTGAATTCAATGTAATAGTTGTAGCCAATTGTTGAATAGTACTAGCAACATCATGTGGATCTATCCCTGTCGTTGAACTAATCTCATGAATAGTGATGACAAAATCTCGAAAACCAATCGAACCGAATGAATTCGACAGACAGTCGTGTGTATCTCGTCCACCACCACCACCACCACCATTGGGAAGATTCGATTTACCAGCGGCTAGTTTACAATCTTTAATTGAGCATAAAAGAAACGGTAGGACTTTAGACCGCCAATAGGATTGATAAGAAAGACTGCCTAGCTGAGATAATGGTTTCTCAGGTGAACCAGGTTGTCCTTCAATACGCGATAATAAAAAACCTATAAAAAAGAAGTGAAATAAAAGAAATTGGGCGATAGATAATAAATATTCATCACAGGAAGGAGTAAAATAAAGATTTTAAGGTGACTCTTGTTAACCCTAGAATCAGGTGTCTCGGGAATACGAAAAACTCTGTGAATTGAGCTCGATAAGACAGTGAAGTGTATGAAACAGACAAAAACAAATGAGATGCTCACTGGCCACTGGCCCTGTTCAGGTAGGTAGTTACCCGGAGTTCTAGTGGGAAGACGTGACCAGGAGGGTTCAGCAAGTCAGGTATGAGGACAAATACTCACTAGCGATGACACTCGCTAGTGGTCGCACTATGTCGTGAATTGGCAGATGTTGGAATTCATGGGTTAGCCATTGGAACGGGGCCCAGTGGCTTAATGGTCTACGAGCTCGCTAGCCAGCCTTGTAACCTGAAGGTTCTGGATTCAACCCCCTGTGGGGGCATACTGATGAAGAGTCCTGAACTAGAACGAAACAGCTCTCCAGTACTCCCAGGTTTTTCAACGGTTCAGTAACCGATGTCAGCTCATGATGAAATCCTGTCGTCTGAAGGAAATACCCTACTGGTGATACATCCGTATTCAGCGAAGAGACTCCTTTTTAGCCAATTTATTATCAAGCTGTACAATCGCATATATATATATATATATATATATATATATATATATATATATATATATATAGTAAATTGTCTTAGCAACAAAACGGACATTTCCAAAAATGTGTCATAAGAATTGTAGATTTTCTAAAATAACAAATTATGTTATGTGAAAAAGCGCTAATCGGATAGAAACTGAAATAAGATTAAATGAGTAAAAATGAGTGACGTAATATAATTGACGATATTGAGTAGAATTCAACTAAAATTGAAGGAGAGTCAAGTTAGTCCTGAACTTTGCATACGGTGGAAGTTTGTTCAGTCATTAAATCTACAATGGACGTACCTGACCTACCTTAACACTGAACAGGTAATTTTTGTGATTTTGTTGATTAATTCTATGATTTTTTTCTTCCCTCACCCCCTGTTGAATTTCTACCTCCTATTACCACCGTTGTTAACTTGACTATCGTTCACTTTTAGTTGAATTCTACTCAGTCCTGTCAATTATTTTGCGTCACTCAATTTACTTATTTAATCTTACTTTAGTTCCAATCCGATTAACGTCTTTTCATATTACGCAATTTGTTATATAAAGAATTTACAATTCATTTTGTTGCGAAGATATATGCAATTGTACAGCTTGATGATAAGTTCAATGAAAAGAGTCACATCGCTGAATCACTCATTGTGATTTTCTATACGTACCACCAATGGAAATTTTCCACGAATATCCACCCATTATTCGTCAACAGTAAGACCTCCCCCATCTAAGACCCCTCCAACATAGTGTGGGCGACGTATACTACGGTGGTAACTACCTTTACTTTCATGGTAGAAGCATCCGTTCTAACCAATATACTTCGTTGGAGGTTATTGCGATATGCAAGCCTAACCTTCACGCCTAGGCAATAACAGCTTCCCATCGAACTTAACTCAACACATGATATGATGGAGAAGGTTTGTAGCTCAGGTGGGTAGTTTTGACGTATTTGTGTTCTCCGAGCTAGCTGGATGGTTTATTTGAGAAGCTTCCATTGCCCTACTACTACGCAACATCTTAAGCGCATACTTCAATTCGTCGAAGTGATCTTTTTGATTTCCCAACGAGTTTATGAGTCATCTACCCTGGTGGGTGATCTTAAACGTAAGTGGTTGTTTTTGTCTGTTTTCACACCCTCTAGTCTATTTGTATTGATTGTTTCTTTGACCTGAAGTTTGACCCTTTGTGTGTGAGATTTCCTTCTTATAGATTGGTAAAATCTCTCTATGTCGATGTGTCTATTGATTGAAGATTCACTGGAATACCAGGCTTCAAAAAATTAACCGGCGTTCTTGGTGTTTCCTCTGCCTAAGTCGAAAAGATGTCCATGGTTGTCTGCATGCAACGATATAAATGAGTGCATATCATGTCTTTTGACGGCTAGTTTATGTTCATGGATGCAAAGAAGACGAAGAGGGCATCCACTTTGACCCAATGCAGTGTTTTTTCGTAGTCGTTGGAATTTATTTTGTAGATGATGGTGGCTTTTATCTTCTTTAACTGTTAAATAAGCTGAGTGGAGTGATTTTGTTGGTTTGTGTGTTACATCAATTCCTAAAAGTTTGAAGAGTCTTGCAGTGATTTCTGAGATGTCTTTTATGAATATGGTAGGGTTTCACAAATAAACCGTTCAGCTCAGAGAACACATAATTTTACGTTGATTATATTTAGAAGAGAGTTATTTTCGTAACTGAAATGAGTCATTCTCAACCACCCTCCACCCCGCAAAAAAATAATGAGTAGGCAACCACTGAAAGTTTTATCTCATTGGATTAGCTCCAAGCTAAGAAACACCTTTTGACTGAACTTTAACACTCAAACACAATCATTATGAGATAGACCAAATGGACTTTATCTCATTTTTACTAAGAAGTTTACAACTATACATACACAATTGTATAAAACCATTTACGCGAGAGGTGATTTGGCAACTACTTCGCTACTACGGGGTGCCGCCGACAATTATACATCTCATCCAGCAGCTGTACGACAATGCTGCATGCCAAGTAATCCACAATGGGAAACTTACGGAATCCTTCGAAGTGAGGACAGGAGTAAGACAAGGCTGCCTACTATCGCCAAGATTTTCGTGATTGCAGTAGATTGGATAATGCGACAAACAACAAGCGATGATGAAACAGGCATAAAATGGACTCACACAAAAAACTTGAAGGATCTGGACTTCACCGATGATATATGTCTGATTTCCCACAAACTGGAAGATATGCAAGCGAAAAGCAACAAGTTGGCAGAAGAAGCATCAAAGATAGGACTTCAGGTGAACATAGAGAAGACAAACACGCATAAAACCTGAAGAAACTCCTCTTTACCTACTTGGGAAGCATTGTTTCAACTACAGGGGAACTGACGAGGATATCAAAGGGAAAGCAAGGCAAGCCTTCATTACTCTCAAGTCTATGTGGAGGTCAACAGCACTCAGCGTCAAAAATAAGATCCGGATTTTCAACTCCAATGTGAAGTCAGTACTACTATACGGATCAGAGACTTGGCGTGTCACAAAGAGAACCTCAAACAAGCTACAGACTTTCATTAACAGTTGTCTTCGCTCAATACTCAAGATCAGATGGCCGGAAAGGATCAGCAACAAAGATCTCTGGGAGCAAACCAACCAGGAACCGATTGTGAAACAAATATCGTATTGGCCATACTCTGAGGAAACCATCAAGTGACATCACTAGACAAGCCATTGCTCGAGTGGAACCCGAAAGGGAAGCGGCGAGTTGGTCGTCAGTGCAAGGGTGACTTGGAGGAGGTCATGTGAAGAGGAGATGAAAACGTGTGGGCAGACATGGAGCCAGGTGAAGACTCTAGCAGAGAACCGAACGCAATGGAGACTCACGGCTGAAGCCCTATGTTCCTGTAGGAATTAAAGGATACAATAATAATAGTAATCAAATCCTACTATTCAGCTATTTGTTACGTCACTCTGTCTCTATTCTCAATGTACAGACTATTTGTGCATATACAAATTGACACATAAACGGGTTATTTATGAACAAGGAATCAGATAAAAAAAATTTATTCGCTGAAATTGATGAGTGCATTGAATAACTGCGCGTTCGTCACGTTTAAAATACTTTTTTTTCAACACAAAAGCACTTAAATTTGCTAAAACAAAAAGTTTCTAATTTTAGAACTTTTTAAATGATGTGGAAAAATCCCCCATTTACTAATATATATTGTAATGTTTTAATTCTAAATAAGTTGTCAGCATGCAGACACAGCGTATAAAACTGCATGTGTGTGAGTAACACAAACCTGATAATTAACTCGCCTATAATTTGTCTGTAAATAATGACTTGTTCACAATGAACGCTACATGCCACACGCTTATTGTATTACAGCGTATAATACTGACACTAGTCAACTCATCGAAAAAGGCTCACTGCAAAGTGGTTGCGCTATATCGTGAATTGGTGGAAGTTAGAGTTCATGGACTGGCCATTGGATCGGATCCAAGTGGCTGAATGGTCTACGAGCTAGCTCGCCTTTTAACCACAAGGTCCTGGGGTCAAACCCTACCCAGGTGGGTGCGTACTGATGAACACTGTCAAACTAGGACGAAACAACTGTCCAGTACTCCAGTGCTGGATTTCCAAAGGTACTGTAAACGAATGTCAGCTTATGATGAAATCCTCCAACCAATCAAGCAAAATACCCAAAAAAAACGGGTCGGATTCAAACCAGCCCCCCAACCCAGGGGTGACTAACTAGCTGAATATCACGTGAGTGATTCAACCTACGAGTCAAATAATTACTAATTCCTGAGAAACAAAAAAGAGACATGATTGAAGCAGCTATTCATTCGGCTTATGTACTTTTGTTTCATTCCTCACTGTGAATAGTATTCTATGGAGAAAATTGTGTCCAAAAGAAATACCTATCCCATTCATACACCCACTGACAGAAAACAATTTCCATATATCGAAATGATAAGACAAAAGTATATAACTAGCGTGCAGCATGTAAATAAAATCGATGCACAATTAATCGCAGTATAGAATTCACCAACTCTTCAGATAGAGAATATGAACAACTGTTGAGGTTATTTCAAGTATGACCACGAACTAACGTCATTTAGTGAGCCACTGAAAACCACGCAGTACTAGACAACTATGTCTGTGATAACTGCAGCAGCACGTACACATAACCCTACTAGGGATCGAACCCTGGATCTTCCTTCACGTTATGAGGAAAAAAACTTGCTGACCACTCATCATCAGTCATTTGAGTCGAAACCCATTGGCCCATGAATTCAAACTTCTACCGACTTGCGAGATACATATACGACCAAAGTCAGTTGGTTAGTCTGCGGTGAGTAACAGTCCCCACACCTCACCTGATGGTCCTCACATGGGGTGGTGACAACTTATCACCAGAGAACTCTAAGCAACTTATAGTCTTGTAGCTACTCACTATCAAGCATCAGAATAATAATCAGAATTAGTTTGTAGTGAGCTGATTGATATCAAGTCTGACTACCAAATAACATTAGTTAAAAAACCAAGGGTACTGGACAGCTGTGTGACACTTCATCAGTAGTACCACAGCCACAAATTGAACTCAATACCTTCAGATTACAAAGCATGGCCCGTCGAACATGCGCGAACACTGGGAATGAATCCAATGACCATGAGTTTCTTCCAACTTCTGCCAATTCGTGATAAATTTTGAATTTCCCAGACAGAAAGTAAAAATTGATAACAAAGAGAACAAGGAATGAATTGGTAGGAGGAGAGAATACAGTTCGGTGGGATCCCGGTGGCTTACTGTCCTAGCAGCTCACCTCGCAACTGGGAGGTACTGGGTGCGAACCCCGTCCAGTGGTTGCGTACGGATGAAGAGACCCAAACAAGGTCGAAACAGCTGTCCAGAACTGATTTTCTAAATGATGTCAGCTCATGATCACCAAAAAAACTCCATATAAAATTTAAAATCAAAACGGGTAAAACAACTTACTGAAATCAATTAAAAATCTCCCATAAGCTTGTTTTTGATACGGTGGTAAGACTAGAATACAACTTAAATTATACTTTTGTGCAGAACGTTTCTCTTTAGAGAAATAACCAACTAGATGAAAACATCGTCGATGATTGCTTGTTTTGCTACCACGTCCGCCAGTAGAAGAAGCAGAAGCACCATCGTTGTTGTTGTTGTTATCAGCATTATGATTATCATCCTCCTCTCCATTGTGTACTGTTACCACATAGAAAAGGAATGGTTCAACATCATAATACAGCGTTTTATGATCTAAGAATAATTTAGCCAATAAACACAGTTGTTGACAGTATAATCGGGAAGTGTATCCATCAACTTCAAATACTGAAATATTTTTACATCGATAGATTTCATTGCCAGGCGGGAAACTATACGGACATTTTTCCTATAGGGAAAGCAGAATAAAAAGAAAAGTTGGATAAGTGAAACAATGAGATACGGATTATTATGAAAGAGAATAAAGACAACAGAAATCAATGAATGAAATCATAGATTTTAACATTAATTTAAGAAAATATCTTTGGGCTGATGTATAACTGGAGTATAACTGAAGTATTCCAACATAGTTATTTCTCAAGGGCCTTAAGTCAATCAGTATACTTCCCTTTCGTATACTGACAGTATGCTTCTGTTCAACCCCTGCTTACTTTCTTCCAACACTGTTCGATAAGGAAGTCGGTAGCTAGGCATGCTTAACACGTAACGCGTCATCTAGTAATCTCAATCGATGCAGCTTCACTACACCTTAACGAATGAATTTAACGCCATAATTAACACTCTATACCCAGTCTTAATAATACTCATAATAAAACAACCACTCAACACAACCATTTATTTTTATTCCTACACGTTCCCAATGGAACATAGGGCTTTAAGCTAGAGAGGCTTGAAGTTTCGGTAGCAGTGGTGTGTATTCATTTTTACTAGATGAGTTGCTAGCCGCCTCATGCCCAACTCTCCCTCTTTACCAATCTTACTATTGCCTTAGTGAGGGGTAAAGGAGTGCGTCGGTGACCGAGGATCGAACCCCAGACCACCTGCGTGGTCGGCAAGCACTCCACCGCTGTGCCACCGACGCACCAACCATTTATGGTCCAAGGCAACTAGCCTCTTCGTGTCTTCTACTTTTAACAGCCATTTCTCACACCCATGAACAAAGACAAAGCAAACTGTGACAGCTACAGCTCAACACAAGAAATAGAGATGGTTAATTTATTGGTTCATAAAAACTAATAAAAATGAGAACAATAATACTAAAAGAAGAACAACAGTATGGAAATAGTGGATGATATCACAGGTAAGTTTAATAGCAATCAAAGATGCTCAGATTATATATGCTAGCGAGTAATGCACAGTTATTTCACATGCTGGTTTGGAATTCTTCAGCAGCAGCACGCACCTAAGCCCCACAGGGGAGGGGATCCTAAAACCTTCGGGTTTTGTAGCGAAGATATGTAGGAGTTCGATTCCTAGTCAACACATTCCAGAAACCTCTTCCAGATTACTAGCCGACAGTAGGCCGGGAAATGAGAAAATGTTGGGAATGAGGCTAGAAACTCCCCTCCATGAAGAGAAGACCAACGCCATCACATTACTGAAGCTCTATGTTGCACTTGGAACAGAAGAAATGAAAAAGCCTTTAAAACTGAGTTGAATTACACCTTTTACAACAATATTAAAATATCTCTAGTCTGTCGTGAGTTAGATTGATAAGCCTATAGAAATCATGTTTAAATGAATACACGAATCAGTAGCATAATAATAATCAATTTTTCGGCTTGAAGTAATAGAAATCAATTTTGTTATTTACAAAAATTATGAAAGTTAACTTTTGCAGTCCCTCGATTATTACAAATGTTTACGCCTATATCACAGCAAAACATTCGAGCGGTATATAAAAGAAATCATCATTGTACACTCCAAACCCCTCCCCCTCGCTTTAGCAACTCTCACCGCCAAAAGCAAATCACCATAAAACTCCACTAAAACCGAAATACGAATAACAATCCCTACACAAAATTGAAGTGATATAATGCACACATCAGTCCAAACAGCTGACAGAATCACTTTGGTGAAAAGATGGAAAGTGAATTAGAAACAGGAATTTTCTGATGCCATGTGGAAGGCATTGGGTGTATTCTGTTTAGTAGCTTCAAAAATGCCATAAATTTCTCTCTCTCGCTTGTTCTCAGATCTTGGTGGTGAGAATCTTGAAGGCAGAAGTGGAGAAGGGTTCCACGAAAACAACAGTCGACCATGGATCAGGCGGTCCTAAGTGATCCCATAAATCGGTAAAGAGATGAGGCGCCAGACATTGTCTGCTTGCTGACTTTGTCAGTGTATTGCTGCTAGGTTGTACTGTTGCGAAAGGGAATCGGGTTAATATTCCCGACCGTATCCACAGAGATTGATGCATGTTGGATCTTTGATTCAGTGTGTGCGCCCAGCGCGGTAACGCAACCAAACTCGGAGATATCAGTGGGAGTTCTGGGAAGAGTTCACCTGATACTATCTGAGGGAACTGTTGGTGCGTGGTTCTTGTGGACAGAGTTTCTGACCCCAATTTGTTGGGAATATTCGCCTTGATACTCAGATACTTCTCCTTACGGTTAAATTTTGATTAAATAATTTGTTTCTACACTGCTTAATTTGTCCTTAGAAACATGTATTGCTTACATGTATTGCCTTACACTAATGTTGAGTTTTTTGTGTCATTATTATTGGTTGAATAGAAGCGCGCGCACACACACACACAAACATAGATTTATTCAAGAATAATCGTCTTTTCATTGCTTTTGGAGTGTTTTGTGACTACTGTGCATGTCTGATGGACGTTTTGTCAACTACACAGTAGGACACCGAGATTAAGTTTCTTGCATTCAAACTAGAAACAAGTCAGTTTTGGTTGTAACATACTCGGAAAAAAATGTCAAATATAGTTACCCAACTCTTTAAAAAAAAAGCATACAATGATGTGCACTATTCATTGGTGTATTTTAGATTCTTTAGAGGGGGTGAGAAAAAAAACCCAGAGAGTTTCAGTTAAGTTAATTTATATCAAAATATGCATGAATTACAATACAACGAATCCAGTGAACACAATGAAAAGACAACAATATTAGAAGAGGAAAGAAGCATATGAACTTACTATATGCCGTAGGTAAACATTACGAGTTTTGATATACTTCAAACAGAATTCACATATGTACAACAGTGTGAGTCTAAAATATAAGAAGATGAAGTATACAACATGAAAAGTACAAATTATTGCGATAAAACTATCCTCTTTCTTAACATTAATAGACTTGGAAACCTTTACATTACAAATTACATAACACTGAACATAAAATATCTAAAATTCATTATTACCATCTAATTACCATCTAAGCGTAGAAAGAGCAGTTTCAATTTCGTAGGGAATAAAAAACACTTCCTTGTTAGTAGTTATTCTTTATTATGTCTACAAGAAATACCAACGCATACTTAACACCCTAAGCCAATAATGAATCAACTGATGTTTGTCCTCTCAGGGTCTATATATATACTTAAGTCAATGCAAGAACTGGCGCGGAATTGTGCTCCTGTCTATCCCAAGCAAAATACTAAGCCGCATCATCCTGGAGAGAATCAAACAAGCCCTGGATGAAAAACTTCGACCGGAACAGGCTGGATTCAGGAGAAACAAGTCATGCATTGATCAGATCACAACACTACGCATCACCATTGAACAGAACTTGGAATGGTAGTCACCTCTCTATCTCAACTTCATCGACTTCGAAAAGGTCTTCGACAGACAGCGTTGATCGAGAGGTGGTTCGGAAACTACTACGCTACTATGGGGTGCCGCCGACAATTATACATCTCATCCAACAGCTGTACGACAATGCTGCATGCCAAGTAATCCACAACGGGAAACTTACGGAATCCTTCGAAGTGAGGACAGGAGTAAGACAAGGCTGCCTACGATCTCCAATGATTTTCCTGATTGCAGTAGACTGGATAATGCGACAAACAGCGGGCAATGAGGAAACAGGCATAAAATGGACTCACACAAAAAACTTGGAGGATCTGGACTTCGCCGATGATATATGTCTGATTTCCCACAAACTGGAAGATATGCAAGCGAAAAGCAACAAGTTGGCAGAAGAAGCATCAAAGATAGTACTTCACTTCAGGTGAACATAGAGAAAACAGAGGTGATGAAGATTCCTGGGCAACACCACCAACAGCAACAACAACAACAACAGACAACAGTCAGCATAAATGGAAGGAACCTGATAGAAACAACCTCCTTCACTTACCTACCTACCTGGGAAGCATCGTTTCAACTACAGGCGGAACTGACGAGGATATCAAAGCAAGAATCGGAAAAGCAAGACAAGCTTTCACTACTCTCAAGCCTGTGTGGAGGTCAACAGCACTCAGCTTGAAAATGAAAATAAGATCCGGATTTTCAACTCCAATGTGAAGTCAGCACTGCTATACGGATCAGAGACTTGCACTGCGCGTCATAAAGAGCATCTCAAACAAACTACAGACCTTCATTAACAGTTGTCTTCGCTCAATACTCAAGATCAGATGGCCAGAAATGATCAGCAACAGGGATCTTTGGGAACGAACCAACCAGGAACTGATTGTGAAACAAATAGGCAGGAAGAAATGGAGATGGATTGGCCATACTCTGAGGAAACAAACCATCAAGTGACATCACTAGACAAGCCATTGCTCGAGTGGAACCCGAAAGGGAAGCGGCGAGTTGGTCGTCAGTGCAAGGGTGACTTGGAGGAGGTCATGTGAAGAGGAGATGAACACGTGTGGGCAGACTTGGAGCCAGGTGAAGACTCTAGCAGAGAACCAAACGCAATGGAGACGCACGGCTGAAGCCCTATGTTCCTCTTGGAATTAAAGGAGACAATAATAAAATAATAATACTCGGGTGATTGATGTGGACGAGTAGTTGGATAACAGTCAGTTAGCCAGATCCAAGTAATCATAAAATCAGACAGTTGAGTTCGCTGGTTTTGGGACCAACTGAGTCAACGGTTTACAGCCGTTTTTAACTCTGTTAGGAAGGACGAATTATAATTGTTAGCCGTGAAGTTATGACTGATGTCTGCACTGACATAATAACCTGATTGGACAGACTTTGACTGATTGATTTTTGGAGGATCTTCAAGGTCGTGTAATCAACCAATCAGACACTGATCACTTATTTATATATACATGTATACCCTGTATAGTAGAATAATAAAAGCAGGTTGTATATCGCGGTTGTTGCAGTCACGCCTGACTTCTGTGTCTACCTCAGTGTGGGGAATATTTTCCTAGCCAGTGATCAATTGGCTATAGTGTCGTGTCTAGAGGGGTGCACTGTAGTCAAGATGGACAACAACCGATAGAAACAGTAACACTCCGTTACAGTATACTCATTCCAAAAAAGCGAATCCCACTAACCACATGGGCAGACCGGGGTAGTACTTGGAATTTTATCCGCAATTCACACGTTGCACACTTCGATAAGGTGAAATTTCACCAAGATGATCCAGATGACAATATGTAATCTGCTTAGCAGCATGAATGGAGATCAAGACACTGGGCATCAATCCATGACAACAGTATATGCTATTAATCATTGATTGATATGAATATGGAGGTTGGATAGCACTTACATCAAACAATGGTGATTTGAATAATTTCGACACTCGGAGGTAAAACTGTGGTGAAATTTCACCTAGTAGAATTGTATTGCTTGCAAATTTACAACCGGATTCTGTTTTACGGGTGTAATGTCTATCTGTTTTCAACATAAAACTTTGCACCGATGCGCATCAGTTCAAGTCGCCACACTTCACTTAGCACACAAAGCCATCCAGCACACACCCGAATAGGATATAGACACTGGCCCGCCGTCTGTAAGTGAGGTCACCAGAGCTATCTGTAATTTGAAACGAGGCAAAGCGGCAGGATTCGACGGAATTATTCCGGAGGTGTTTAAATATGGGGGTGACATACTAGTATATGGTTTAACTAAGGTACTAGGTAACGTCTGGGAATCTGAGACGGTTCCATCAGACTGGGGTAAGTCACTTATTATACCAATATTCAAGAAGGGAGACAAGTCTTCATGTGATAATCATAGGGGGATCAGCCTAACGAACATAGTCTCTAAAATCCTAGGCTCAGTAATCATGAATAGACTAAGCCGAACTCGGGAGCAACAAACGAGGGAAGATCAAGCGGGCTTTAGGCCAGGTAGAGGGTGCATAGATCATATCTTCACTCTCCGACTGATCCTAGAACATAGACACACTTTCAGGCGTCCGACAATTGCCATATTTCTTGACTTGAAGGCGGCCTTCGACTCCGTGGATCGAGAGGTACTGTGGCAATGTTTAACTGTGAAGGGAGTGCCAAGAAAGTACATTGCACCAATCAAGGCACTCTACTCAAACTCACGTAGCTGTGTAAGGGCTTATGGGGAATTGTCATCTGAATTGATAACAACCAGTGGTGTCCATCAAGGATGTCCACTTTCCCCATTTCTGTTTAACTTCATCATAGATATGCTAATGGAAGTATCCTTAACTGAACTTAACGACTTAGGAATCGACTTGTTACCAGGGAATAATCTTATGGACTTAGAATATGCAGATGACATAGTCGTGTTAAGGGAGGATGCTGACAAAATGCAGTCTTCTGAACACCTTGAGCAGCAATCTTCGTATGTTTGGCATGCGATTCGCTCCTGTAAAATGTAAGATGCTGCTACAGGACTGACTGGACTACGTCAACTCCTAGCTTAGTGATAGGGAGTGAAGTGATAGAACATGTTGACCACTTCACCTATTTGAGAAGTTGTATCAGCACCAACGGATTGATTGGTGACGAAATCACAGCACGGATCCAGAAAGCTCGGGCTGCTTTCGCTAACTTACACCGTCTCTGGCGTAGGCGTGACTTTCGGCTATCAACCAAGGGACGTGTGTACTGCTCAGCAGTTCGCTCCGTCCTTCTCTATGGTTCTGAAACATGGCCAATGCGAGTTGAAGACATGAAAATGTTGTCTTTTTTTGATCATAGATGTCTACGATCTCTTTCTCGCGTTAGGTGGTCTAATAAGGTAAGTAATGTTGTCGTTAGGCGTAGAGTGTTGGGCAAAGAGGGAAAATCACTCGAAGAGGCTATAAAGTTACATAGATTGAGATGGCTGGGTCACGTGGTGCGCATGCCTAACCATCGCCTCCCCCACTCCGACGGGCATTACTAAGTGATATAGGTGCAGGTTGGAAAAGAGTAAGTGGTGGCCAAACAAAAACATGGCCTCATCAATCCATGAAATCCCTGACAGTTAAACTGAGTCAGGTAGGGAGATACAGACTTCCGGGTTGGGGCCCACCCTCGGGACTCTAAGAATCAATATCTGGAGGCAATAGGTGACATGGCTCAAAATCGTTGTCAATGGCTTACACAGATGTACTCAGTCTCTGTAATCTCTCATATTCCTTTCTACTATTACTCATTCCGTTTCACTCTTATACCTGTCAAAAGTCTATTGATTCTCTTCACTGATGCCTTCTTGTCTACCTTTGTGTGCTATTGGGAACGTGGCAACTCGAACTGCTGCACCTCGATGCCAAGTTCTATGTTGAATCCAGCAGCAGCAGCAACACAAAGCCAAAGAAGAAAGTAGAAGAAATGCATAATAGAGACAGTAGACAGGGATATGAGACAAAAGGAATGGCAATAAAAAGAAGAATAATATAGTTTCAGTGGAAATTATGTCACAAGGAGTGGATGCATCTGAGCTAGCCATTGAGAACGATTTTGAACCATATCACCGATTGTCTCTAGCCATTGGATTTTACCGTCCCAAGGACCCCAACCAGTCAGGAAGTCCACACCTTCCTACTTGAATTAAACTAACTGTTGTGGATTTCATTGACTGATGAAGCCATGTTTTTGTTTGACCGTCACTAGCCTTTTTCCAACCTGACCTTATGTTAGCTTATTATTGCCCGTTGTCGAGGAAGGCGATGGCTAGACATGCGTAACACATGTCGTAACCATCTCAGTCGATGTAATTTCACAGCCTCGTCGATTGATTACCCCCCCCCCCCACCTTACCTAGCACTCGACCGAAGAAGTCTAACCTCAATATTGCTCACCTTATGATACCACTTAACACGGCAGACAGAAAGCACACATCTATGATCAAAGACAG